TGATTTCCAGTCGTAGCGTGCGCAGGCTGCCCCAGCAGTACGATGCAAAATTTCTTGAAAGCCTTCGTGACCAACCGTGGTCACAGGCCAGCTTCCTGGCGGGGCAAAGTGGCCAAGCCAGGCTGCAGAAAACCTTTCAGGATCCGTCTGATCAAACAGCCGAGGAGGCACCGGCGCCAGAAGTTGTTGAAGATGAGGGTCCGCGGCCCATGCCGTACCCGGGGCATGTGGTGCCCGATAACGCATTGCTGAGTGAGCTTGTGCCGCCGCCACCGTTGTTGCGTACGCCCGAGCCTCCGACACCTTCCAATCCCAGTGCCGTGACACCGGCCCACATGTTGCCCTCCTTGACGCCCGTGCCGCCTGAGACAGCATCACCCGTGCCAATGTTGGTCGAGCCGAGTGCAAGCGCTGGCGGGGATGAAAGCACAGCGGCTGGCGGGGATAGTGCACCAACGGCTGGAAGCTCCAGCGAAGGCCTTCCTTCTAGTGGCACCGTCAGGCCCGCAGATGCGCCAGCTGATGCACCAATGCGCACGAAGCGGCTGCGCCTTGATGCTGTTCAGACAGATGCAAGCGGCAAGCAGTTGTTTCATCAGGATGAAGATGTTACTCTAGAGGGAGAAGCAGCTGAAGAATTTCTTGATTGCGGCGAGTCAGCAGATGGAGTTGAGTACGAACCCGAAGCAGCCCCTGAAATACCTTCTTGCTTGATCAAACCATTTTCTGAAAGCGAGCCAGCATGCAGCCCAGCTGAACTTGATGAGATTGACCGAGTCGCAGACCAGTTCGAGTTTGACAGACTTGTGCAACTCGGAGTCATGACCGAGGTAGCTGATAAGCTTGATGGGCATCGCATGCTAACGAGCAAGAGCGTCAGAACTTGGCGGCCGAAAGTGCTCGCCGGGCAGAAGGTGTGGCTGCGTAGGTCGAGGCTGGTTGCTCGGGAGTATGCACATCTTGATCCAGAGAGGTCAGGTCTGTTTTGTCCGACGACGAGCCAGATAATGTTGCGTGTCATCCCGGCACTGTTCCTGCGCCGTCGTCGTGCGGGCTGGTCACTGCTCAGCCTAGGGCCTAGATGTGTCTGATGCATTTTTGCAGTGCGAGCAACAGCATGCCACCTTGACCCGCATAGGCAATAAGTGGTTTAAGCTTTTGAAAATGCTGCCAGGGCAAAGGGATGGAAGCGTCACATGGTACAATGATTTTACAAGCGAGATGAAAAGCGCTGTTGGCGTTGAGTTGCCTCCGGAGAGCCCGGCGTTGTTCAGACTGCCGGCGTCAGCCGGAGGAGGCTATGTACATGTTGACGACATGCTGTGTGGCGGCGTGACTTCCCTCCTTGAACGCTTAGAGCAGCATCTTGCGAGCAAGTTCAAAATTTCTTCAGAGTGGTTGCGCGAAGTTGGGGATGAGGTCAGCTTTCTGAAGCGTCGGCATCTGCTTGTGAGCCCGGAGCTACTTGTGATTGAGCCGAATGTTAAGTACGTCGACAAACTGCTTGAAGTCACAGGGATGTCTCGAGGGAACCATCGGTCCAAAGGAACCCCGTTTCCCACCGGGGTGTTGCCCACTGAACAGGACACCGACAAACCTCTTGACAGTGCCACTGCAACACGATTTCGTTCTGCAGTCGGCATACTGATGTACATGAGCAGCGATCTCATTGCTTGTCAGTTTGGGATAAGATACTTATCAACATATGCCCATGCACCTACCGAGGGCGCTTGGAAACTGCTCAGACACTTGACAAGTTACATCAGCGTGCACCGTGCACACTGCATCGGGCTGTCGAAGCCTGAGCTTGGCAAAGGCCTCACCCAGGACAGATCGAGCACTGAAAATACTTCTCTTCTTGAAGTCCTGTCGGACTCTGATTGGAGCGGTTGTAAACGGACGAGAAAGTCGGTGAGCTCTTGCGCCATTCTTTGGGATAACATGTTGCTTTATTCTCACAGCAAGACGCAGAAAGTAGTGTCTCTGTCATCGGCAGAAGCAGAGTATCATTCTTTGATTTCAGCAGCCGCCGACGGACTGTTCCTGTCTGCTTGCGTGCGATTCCTTGTCCCTGAGGTCACACTTCATCAAGTCTGTTTGGTTGACAATATGGCAGCGCGATCATTGGCATGCCGACAAGGAGTCGGAAAGTTGAGACATGTGTCCGGTAAGCTGTTATGGTTGCAGCAGCTTACAAAAGATGGTATCCTTGAGGTCGGCCCAGTGCCAACAGACACGAACGTGTCAGATGTAGGAACAAAACCGCTGAAAGCAGACCGTGTCAATCGACTTCTAGGGATGCTTGGAATCCGAAATTCCGATGATGACTATTCCCTTGTTGGGGAATCACAGCTTCTTGAACACCGTGAGCGGATGCAGATTTCGAGGGCCACTGAGCGCGCAACAAGTGATTCAAGTTTTAGCCATGCTCCTTCAAGTTGATCGCGTGTCAGGTGCAGAGGACGAGCCCAATACGCAAAACCATACTGAGGACGCCTTGGGCCAGAACGGCGTTGCACCCGGCGACAATCTTGAAATGCTTGAGCAAATTCTTGAATGGTTCATGTGCGGATTTTTCCTTGTGCACGATTTTGCACTTGAGTATCCCACGACAGTAATGCTGGCCTTGCAAATCTGCATTCTTTGCGTGATGTGTTGGAGCTTGTGTCGTCGAGGACGGTTGGAACAACTGCGTGAGCGTGCCGGCGATGCTCAAAGTGCAACACAGCCCACAGTTGCTGTGCATGTCAAAGTTGAGGGTTCTTCGGTTACGGTAGGTAGTCCCGAACCCACCGGCAATGCAGGCTCCGTAGTTGCAGATGCGCCCAGCACTTCCAGTGCCAGCGCGTCGAGTGCAAATGCATCAACCAGCAGCGCAGCAGCGCGTGCCGATGATCATGATGTTCGAAACTTCAGGGCAATGCCTAAAGTCCGTGCAGCGCCAGATCCAAAGGCGCGACCCACAGCTGACCATGCTGTCTGGGTGACCAAGTCCCGTGGGAGATCGTTTCATCGTAAGAGATCTTGTGGCACGCTTGGAAATGCAAAAGCGCTTGAGCAGATCACGAAGTCAGAAGC